TTTTTTCTTTTTGCTTATGTGGTGCTGAGGAATCGAACCCAGGGTCTCAGGCATGCAAGGCAAGCGCTCTACCACTGAGCCACCTTCCCAGCCCCCTTTGTAACATTTTCATATAACCTTCCTACCCAGCTTCTAATAGCACTGCCTTAAAAAAAAGTAATTGTTTTTTACAGAAAGTATGTTTATAGCCAACTTCATTAAGTTGGAAGAACATGGGAGACTTCTTGGTGACAGCCTAGTTAGCACAAAGTTTTGATTTCAAACCCCAATATAAAGGAAGGGATGGAAAGAAGGAAGGACCATAAAATTGCTCAAATTCCAGTTTGGTTTGTAAGTAAAGTCCACAAGAATTTGAACCCTGGTCAATCTCCATGAACAGGAATCTGCTAATAAAAGCCAGGGTCCAGGTCATTGTCCCCCTGCAGAATACACTGCTGGAGAAACTTGTGGATAGACACTGGTCAAAAGTACAGATGGGCGCTGGCGGCTCACGCCTGTAATCCTAGCTACTCAGAAGGTTGAGATCTGAAGATCAAGATTCAAAGCCAGCCTGGGCAGGAAAGTCTGTGAGACTCTTATTTCCAACAAATCACCAGAAAACCGAAGTGGCACTGTGGCTCAAGTGGTAGAGCTCTTGCCTTGAGCTAAAGAGCTCAGGATAGTGCCCAGGCCGAAAGTTCAAGCCCCATGGTCAGTAACAACACCAAAAAGGTTCAAGACAAAAGGCAGCCATGAACTTAGGGGACAAATAACATTTGTTACTAGAAAACAAAAGCATCCTTTCAAGTGCTGTGAGCTTCCTTGTGATGCTGCCCTGGTCTCCACTTGTCCCTCCTACAAGCAACCATGAGTGATTTCCACAGTGCTTCCATTCCCTATTCCTGACTTACTTTTGCTGGCACGTCTTAGGGAATGGAATTAATCCTAAAGAAGCTTAACAGGTGGAGAAAATCCTGGGCTGAACCCTCAGGGGGCTGTGTGAAACACTTTAGGTGGTCACAGCAATACCCAAAGTAAAACTATTATCAAAAGCTGCTCTGTCTCCCGAGTCCAAGGAGCTCAGCTGAGCGCAGGCTGTCCTGTTCCTCCTGTGTGCGCTCCAGCGAGCTTGCTGGCTTCAGAGCAGAGTCAAGTGTCCTCAAAGTGCCTCTGCAAGGACACATCCCCTGCTTGGATGGCTCTTCCGTAAGTTCTAACCAAACAGCATTTGGTTACTGGTGTTAAGCATTATTTTACTCATTTATTTGTAAGCCTCCTTCTCTCACGGATAGGGCCCAGGTAATGGTGGGAATTCACCAAGTCACTAAAGTCATCATTTGGTTAAATTTAAAGCCTTTACGTAACACCAAGAGAGCCAGGCGCCAGCGGTTCACGCCTGTAATTTTAGCTACTTAGGAGGCTGAGATCTGAGGATCAGGTTCAAAGCCAGCTGGGGCAGAAAAGTCTGTGAGACTCTGATCTCCAATAAACCACTAGAAAACCGGAAGTGGCGCTGTGGCTCAAGAGGTAGAGTGCTTGCCTTGAGCTGAAGAGCGCCCAAGCCCAGTGTTTTCAAGCCCCACGACCACCACCACCAACAACAAAAAGCTAAGAGAGTCTCTGAACTAGACACTAGCTGCAGGTCCACAGACTGACCCTCTGGAATCTAATTATATGAACCTCACTGGTTTTCAATGCACTTTCCTGGAACCTTCAAGAGTCCTTGAACCTGCTGGTGATGAGGAAATCACACAGGAAGAGCTCTGGGATCTCCATGTGAGTTTCCACCAAAATCATAAAACCACTCTTCTTTTTTACATGTCATAAGTAAGCATATCACCTTACAAGATGTTTTTGGTGAAAACCACTATCCCAGGCCAGCGATTCACCTGAGACCAGTGAAACACCAACATCTCTGTCTGATTTTTTTTTTTTTGTCGGTTGTGGGGCTTGAACTCACGGCTTGGGTGCTATCCCTCAGCTCTTTAGCTCAAGGCGAGCACTCTACTGCTTGAGCCACAGCGCCACTTCCAGTTTTCTGGTAGTTATTGGAGATAAGAGTCTCACGGGCTTTCCTGCCCAGGCTGGCTTTGAACAGTGATCCTCAGATCTTAGCCTGAGTAGCTAGGATTACAGGTGTGAGCCACGGGCGCCGGGCCTCTGTCTGATTTTATTGCCTTCAGCTCAGAAGGGCTCAGCACCATCTGACTGCCTCACTAGCCCACTTCTAGATCCCAAGGCAGCTGTTCTCAAGTCCGCAAAGCAACTGGCCGACTCAAATTACAAACCCTCATCTACATACTTGGATGTTTTTAACAGAAAAGCACAAGGCACTAGAAAATCTGACTGAGGCCAGAAACTAACAGAACCACTTAAGGTCCCAAGACGCCCAAAACACTAAATCCTTTAAATTCTTTTTAGAGGCAAATAGTTCTCTACTAATGATAAGACTATAAAGGAAAGATTCTAAAGATTCCTTTCTCCCTGTGCTCCCCCACCCGTCACCAGGCTGGCAGGCCATGCAGCGCCTCAGTAGTCATCAAACCAGACTTACTTCCTCGGCCGTGTCCTTCTCTATGCGAACGATCTTGTTTTCCCAGTAGATTCGCTGAGATTCCAGCTGGCTTGTTAATAAATATGAATACTAGAAAGAAACACAGAGAATAAACATCAAAATGTCAGCCAATGTTGTCGCTCTCTGAAATCCAATTAAAACCTGACCTTTCATGATCTACTGAAGAATAAAAGTGACAGCAGAATTTTCTTAAAGACAGGGTATGGCTACATTGCTCACACTGGTCTAACAGCACAGGCAATCTTCCTACTCTGCCGGGACCACGGCCAGCAGGCTGGGTGTCTCAGCATATTATCCCTGGTGACCATGACAATCAACAGGCACGGCCCGGGACAGAGAGCTGACAATCTAGTTGGAAGAACTGTTCATCGTATAAAAACTTATTCTAGAAAGTGGGGCTGTAGCTCAAAGTGGTAGAGTGCTAGCCTTGAGCAAAAGACCTCTGGGACAGTGCCCAGGCCCTGAGTTCAAGCCCCACAAATGACAAACAAAAAAACAAAAACAGCTTTTGGGCTGGGAATGTAGCTTAGTAGTAGAGTGCTTGTCTAACATGCATGAAGCCCTGGGTTTGATTCCTCAGTACCACATAAACGAAAAGCTGGACGTTGGCGCTGTGGCTCAGCACAGAGAGGTTCAGGGACAGGGCCCAGGCCCTCAGTTCAAGCCCCAGGACTGGCAAAAATGAAACAAATTTATTCTGGCCCAGCTGACTTCAAGAAAAACCACGTCATTTTAAGCATACATATAACTGGCCAGTGCCCATTTGGCTCCCGCTGCTCCATGCTTCAGGTTAGTAGCACTGACCCTGGGGCTCAGTCATGGGCTGAGTTGGTTTGGCTCTGATGGCACTGGAACTTTCTTCAAGTGCAGATACTAGCTATACTTTGTGTCTCTCAGGCCTGACCCACACTGGATGTGGACAAATGCTTGCTACATTTGTCTGGTGAGGAGACAGGTAGCACCTAGCATAGGGTCCGGTGAGAGCTGAGAGGGCTCCTGACAGGAGAGAAAAGCAATCTGACTGCAGAGAACTTGGACCAAATCAGAGCTGTGAACATTTAGGGTCTCCAGTGCTGGAGAAGTAACTGATAGCCTGGGCATTTAGGCAGGGATGGGACCTGTGGAGGGCTGTGGGCTGTACACTGAGACTGTGGTCCAAGAGGAACCCAAGGCCAAGCAGCAGTAAAATCATATCTCCATTTTGGAAAGGCCATCCAGAAGATAGAAGGAACATGAACATGTTGCATGTATAGGCTACAGAGAAAGCACAATTAGGAGACTCCACTAGACTATATGCTGCATTCAAGGTTGTCTGTCAACCCCAGTCCTGGGGTTTCTGGGCACTGTCTTTGATCATTTTTGTTCAATGTTAGCACCCTACCGCTTGAGCCACAGCTCAGAGAACTCTGGGAGACTCTTATCTCCAATACACTACAGAAATGTCAGAAGCAGATCTGTGGCTCAAGAAGTAGAGTTTTAGTCTTGATGCTCAGGGACAGCTGGGGCACTGGTCGCTCACAAGTAATCTTACCTACTCAGGAGGCTGAGATCTGAGGATCTCAGGCAGCCCGAGCAGGAAAGTTTATGAGACTCATCTCCAATGAACCACCAGAAAACCAGAAGTGGAGCTGTGTCTCAAAGTATGTGACTCAAATGTGTCTCAAGAAGTAGAGTGCTAGGGACAATGCCCAGGCTCTGAGTTCTTGAGTTGCAGCCCCAGGATTGGCATGCAGGCACACACACACAAAAGAAATCTAGAAAATGCCAGAGCAATGTGAATGAAAATGCTTCTGGTGAAGTAGAGACACTTCCAGGTCCTCCTCCTGTTCCCTGAGTGTACCTGCCCTGCACAGCTGCTAGGGTGCTGCCAATAGCGCATTCTACTTTCGGCTTTATGGGAGCTTTGGAATCTGAACTGGAGACACCTAGGAACTTCACATCAAACAGAAGGCACAGGGAACATAAGACACACCTTCAAAGAAGAAAAAGGGAATAAAAATATTTTAATCTTTCCCAATAATGACAGACATGTAGGGTCAGTGGAAAAGCAGAAGTGGAGCCACCTTTTGGTCTGGAAGGTAAGAAGCGGAGCAACAGGCACCTCGGGAGTGCTGTGAGTCATCTTACCTCTAGCTGCAAGGCATCAATTTTCTCTTCCTGGCAGGTGTCGCCCTCACACTCATACTGCACTATCTTTCCATCTGTTTTACTTGCAACAAGCCGGTGGACGTAATTATCTAAGGAGAAGAACAAGTCAACAAAACTGGACTTCTTCAAAGGAAAAAAAGGGCTCCATGAACACTGAAATCTGAGAAACTCTTTTTACAGATCTAAATTAAATAAATAGTTCTTTTTTTTTTTTTTTGGGTCCGGTTGTGGGGCCTGAACTCTGGGCCTGGGCACTGTCCCTCAGCTCTTCAACTCAAGGCTAACACTCTACCACTTGAGCCACAGTACCACTTCCGGCTTTTTTCTTTTTGCTTATGTGGTGCTGAGGAATCGAACCCAGAGCCTCACACATGCAAGGCAAGTGCTCTACCACTGAGCCACCTTCCCAGCCCCTTGTAATAGTTCTCTAAAAGTGGGGTAATCACATGAAATTTTTTTTGTTCTGTTTTTGGTCGGTTGTGGGGCTTGAACTCTGGGCTTGGGTGCTGTCCCTGCACTCTTTAGCTCAAGGCGAGCGCTCTGCTTCAGCCACAGCACCACTTCCGGTTTTCTAGTGGTTTACTGGAGATGAGTCTCATGGACTTTGTTGCCCAGGCTGTCTTTGAACCGTGATCCTCAGATCTCAGCCTCCTGAGTAGCTAGGATTACACCGGTGCCCGGCTTCATATGAAGTTTTTTGTTGTTATTCTTGGAGACCAGGATTCCAACATTTTTTTTTTTTTTGGTTGGTCGTGGGGCCTGAGCTCTGGGCCTGGACACTGTCCCTCAGCTCTTGAGCTCAAGGTGAGCGCTCTATCACTTGAGCTACAGCACCACTTCTGGCTTTTTCTGCTTATGTCGTACTAAGAAATGGAACCCAGAGCCTCATGCATGCAAGACAAGCACTCTACCACTGAGCCACCTTCCCAGCCCCAGGATTCCAACTCGATCTGATGTTTTGTTTCATTCCAGTCTTGGGGCTTGAACTCAGGGCCTGGGCACTGTCCCTGACCTTCTTTTGCTCAAGGCTAGCACTCTACCACTTGAATCACAGCTCCACTTCTGGCTTTTTCTGAGTATGTGGTAGTAAGGAATCGAACCCAGGGCTTCATGCTAGGCAAACACTCTACAGCTAAGCTACCTTCCTAGCCCTTGATCTGATGTTTTTGCTCACTGACACTCTACCACCTGAGCTGAACTATGCCTCCAACCCCTAATCATATGAATTTTCAGGAGCAGAGGCAAGAAAAGAAGTATAAAGCATCCTAAAAGGTGATTCAGACCATGCCTAGAAAGTAGAACCCCCAGGGGAAACATGAGAACTGTAGCTTGCAAGGACTGTTGGGGAGGTACAGGTCAGACTGAGAGGGAAAGTTCCCACAGAACACTTACCGCCAGCATAGTCCCATACCCGGTGGTTGGTGAGCTGCATGGCGTATGTGTGTTGTGTCTCCTCAAAGTGCTTGTATGCATGTCGACTCACATATCGCCCACATCCTATGTGCCCACAAATTAAGCAAATCCAAAGATTCTGTCATGGATGTAAGATCTGAATTAGTTACATAGAAGTATATGATCTTGCTCATTTGGCTTAGGAATGGAATTCAGAGTTGTTTCTATAGGAGTTCTGAAAATGTATGTTTAACTCTGAAATCTGTCTGGTCTCTAAGGAGCTCTGAGTAAACAGAAAAAAAAAATCCAAAAACACATCACTGATAAAAGCCCGTCTTTTTTTTTTTTTTGTCAGTCGAGGGGCCTGAACTCTGGGTCTGGGTGCTGTCCATAAGTTCTTCAGCTTAAGGCTAGCGCTATACCACTTGAGCCACAGCGCCACTTCTGGCCTTTTCTGCTTATGTGGTGCTGAGGAATTGAATCCAGGTTCTCATGCATGCAATGCAAGCATTCTACCACTGAGCCACTTTCCCAGCCCACCCAAGTCTTTTAGAAGGACAAAAGAAAATAAAGGCAGAGTTTATGTGGAGTAATATATTTATGTATGCATATACAGTACCTTGCCTTACTCTAGACCAAAAAATAAATAAATAAACCAGTCTCAAAAGAGATCTTAGCTACATTAACCAGGAAAAATATCCTCAGCTGTGTTCATATTCTCTCTGCCACCCATTACTTACTTCCTGGACACCACATTCAAAGCACTTATTTTCTTCTACAGGTTCTGGTGTTTGACAGTACCGGCACACAGGACACCTAACCAGGACAACAAAAGATAATGGCACAAAAGTCAAAACACAGCTTTAAGCCTCCTTTTATTTTTTATAAGATTTTTACTATAAAAATACTGTACAGAGGGGTTACAGTTACATGAGCAAGGTAATGAGTACATATCCTATCAAGCATTGTTGTATCCTCCTTTGTTTTTCCCCTCCCATCCCTTCCCTCCCTCCTCCACAACTAAACCTTCCCCCCTTCCCCCTACTGTAAAGTTCGTTTTCTTTCTTTCTTTTTTTTTTGGAGTCCAGTCCTGGGGCCTGAACAGTGGGCCTGGGCGCTGTCCCTCAGTTCTCAGCTCAAGGCTAGAGCTTTACCACTTGAGCCACAGTACCACTTCCAGCTTTTTTCTTTTTGCTTATGTGGTGCTGAGGAATTGAACTCAAGGCCTCATGCATGCAAGGCAAGCGCTCTACTACCTAGCTACCTTCCCAGCCCATAAATTTTGTTTTCAACATAGTGTCTTGTACATCTCATTGTTACAATGGGTCAACTTATATTCCCATTTAAGCATTTTATTCTTTCCCTTTCCCTCCCCGTATTAAAGAAGTGTATATACAAGATGCAGGGTACCAACATCAAATGCAGTGAAAACTGAGGTTATGCTGTGGGGGAGGAACACACAAAGAAACAAAAAAATCACATAGTACATTATAAATACGTTAGAAACACAATAGCAAGAAAGAAAAAAAATATTCGTGTCCCTATCTTGGGGTTCATTTTCCTTAACATCATCTTATATGGTCATATGTACATAGCTTGTGACTTATTTTACTTGTCCTACACATATACTAGTTTTTGCAAATAAGGGAAACCATGGGACCTATGTTTCTTTGGGCCTGGCTTACTTTACTTAATATAATTTTTTCCAAGTCTTTCCACTTCCTAACAAATGGGTAAGCCTCTTTTTTTATGTACTATTCTTTTTTTTTTTCCTATTTTATTATCTTAAAAAGTTTTTTTTTTTTTGGTCAGTCATGGGCCTGAACTCTAGGCCTGTGTGCTGTCCCTCAGCTCTTCAGCTCAAGACTAGTGCTCTACCACTGGAGCCACAGCTCCACTTCCGGCCTTTTCTGCTTATGTGGTGCTGAGGAATGAAACCCAGGGCCTCATGCATGCAAGGCAAGCACTCTACCACTGAGCCACCTTCCCAGCCCTATCTTAATGTTTATCATAGCTAAGGGCATGTTATCACATGTATTTGTGAGCTACTTCAAACAAATGAAATAACGCAAAATTCTGATAAGGTAGAGAAAAAGAAAAAAATTAATTTGTCGCACATCATTTCCTACTATTCTGACATTAGATGAACAAACAACTGAATGTTTACAAGCTAGCACTAGGACTCCTATGTCCTCATTTCCAAAACATTTAAACGATTAAATACGTATCCTGTCCTTTCTCTATTTTTCCTGAGATCTAAAATCTGTAAAGTTACCTTTTTTTTCTCTTAAAAGATGGATATGAAGCCGGGCAACAGTGGCTCACGCCCGTAATCCTAGCTACTCAGGAGGCTGAGATCTGAGGATCACAGAGTTCAAAGCCAGCCCAGGCAACAAAGTGGTGAGACTCTTATCTTCAATAAACCACAATAAAACCGGAAGTGGCACTGTAGCTCAAGTGGTAGAGCACTCCCCGTGAGCTGAAGAGCGCAGGGACAGCACCTAACCCCAGAGTTCAAGCCCCACAACGGACCAAAAAAAAAAAAAAAAAAGATGGATATGAGTTGGGCACTGGTGGCTTGTGCCTGTAATCCTAGTTACTCAGTATGCTGAGATCTGAGAATCGCGGTTTAAAGCCAGCCCAGGCAGTAAAGTCCGTGAGACTTTTTTTGGCCTGTCCTAGGGCTTGAACTCAGGACCTGGGTACTGTCCCTGACCTTCTTTTGCTAAAGGATAGCATTCTACCATTTGAGCCACAGCACCACTTCTGGCTTTTTATGTTTATGTGACAGAGGAATCGAACCCAAGGCTTCATATATGATAGACAAGCACTCTACCACTAAGCCACATTCCCAGCCCTGTAAGACTCTTTTTTATGCCAGTCCTAGGGTTTGAAGTCTGGGCCTGGGCGCTGTCCCTCAGGTTTTCAGCTCAAGGCAAGCACTCTACCACTGAGCCACAGCACCACTTCTGGTTTTTCTGATGGTTTATTGGAGATAAGAGTCTTACGTGGGGCTGGGAAGGTGGCTCAGTGGCAGAGTCCTTGCCTTGCATGCATGAGGCCCTGGGTTCGATTCCTCAGCACCACATAAGCAAAATGAAAAAAAAAGCCGGAACACGCGCTGTGGCTCAAGTGGTAGTGCGCTAGCCTTGAGCTGAAGAGCTGAGGGACAGCGCCCAGACCCAGAGTTCAGGCCCCATGACCGGACCCCCCCCCAAAAAAAAAAAAAAAACTCAGACTTTCTTGCCCAGCTGTCTTCAAACCATAATCCTCAGATCTCTGACTCATGAGTAGCATTACAGGTGTGAGCCACCAGCATCCAGCCCTAAGATTCTTTTTTTTTTAAATTGTGAAATACTGAACAGAGGGATTACAATTACATGGGCAAGATAATGAGTACATTTCTTATCAAGCATTGTAGCCTCCTCCTTTGTTCCCCCTTCACATCCTCCCTCTCCCCCTCCCAGCCAATCTTCCCCTCCCCTCCTAAGACTCTTATCTCCAATCAACCACCAGAAAACTGGGAGTGGAGCTGTGGTTGAATATGGCAGAGCACTAGTCTTAAGCAAAAAGAGCTGAGGTACAGTGGCCAGGCCCTGAGTTCAAGCCCCAGTACTGATAAACAAAATAAACAATTAAAAAACAAAGACAACAATAAAACTTCCAGAAATGTTCACAACATCTTGCCTAGCCATGAACATTGCCTACAAGACACCAGAGCTTGGAGTTTTTAAGTTTTGATAATGAAATCTTTTGGTGCCAGTATTGGGCTTGAACACAGAACCTGGGCATTAACTCTTAGCTTTTTCACTCAAGGCCAAAATTCTACCCTTTGAGCCACCTTGGTTTTTGGGTGGTTAATTGGACATAAGTCTCATGGATTTTCCTGCCTGGGCAGGCTTTGAACTGCAATCCTCAGATCTCAGTCTCTTGGGACTGGCATTACAGGCTTGAATCACTGGTGCTGGGTTTATAATCCTTTTCTTAGTTAAGACAAAGTAGTACTGAAGGCTGGTCATGAATATTTTTTGGCCAACAGACCAACATGACACAAAGTCTTTCTGACTCAGACCAAAAGAAAAAAGGCTGACTGAATTGACACACAGAAAAAAACAAAAACAAACAAAAAAAAAACTCAAGGTATAACTAGTATTGGCTTGTTTCCCAGCTGAGTCAAGAAGATGAGAAAAGGAAACATGCAGGAACACTAAGTTCTCACTTCGTTCTCCTGAGACAAAGCTGGAGGATCCAGATTGTCTCTTCAGCATCAAAACGAAGACAGAAGGGCCGGGGGTGTGGCTCAGTGGTGGAATAACTGCTTAGCATGTGTGAGGCCCTAGGTTCCATTCTCAATACCCAAACTAGTGGGCAGGAGAAACCGAAGACAAGCTGGAAGGGTTAACAGGAATGGCAGCTGGTCAGTGGTGAGCAGTTCTGTGCGTCAGAGGTGGAAACCAGCTCTGTGTCATTCCTTCTGTGTGTGTGGTGCCTGGGAAGGCTAGATAAGAAAACAAAACTAATTTTGAAATTGAATTCAGATTAGATCCGTGCCAGAATGATCTTTCTGGAATTTAAATCTGGTGGTGAGAATGTAAAAGGCAAAACAAACTTATTTGTAGCATACAATAGTTTATTATAGCCCATCTCATGAGCTGATTAGAATATAGTTAGCAGTTTATGAAATCGCTCCTGCCTCCCTTGCCAAAAATTCTGTCTTCAATTCTGTCTTCTCTGTCTTGTGGTTTCTGTGGACTTCCACTCCTCCTCACTGCTGGACTTGAGAATAGAATCTTTTCCTTCCCATGCGTGCCCTCCTGCAATGGCCTTCCCTTGCTCCTCATCCAACTCCCACCATCCTTGCAAGACCACTTCTCTGTGGCACTGGCGGTTTAGGTACCACGTCTTAGATTATAAGGCTGCACACTATGAGGGGTGCGATGTCACACTTAATTGGGCATCTATTTTTCTCTCTGTACATGGAAACCGCAAGGGCCAGCACTTATACACCTTTTTTTTTTTGTAGATCGTGGGGCTTGAACTCTGGGCCTGGGCGCTGTCCCTCAGCTCTTCAGCTCAAGGCAAGCACTCTACCACTTGAGCCACAGTGCCACTTCCAGTTTTTCTGGTGGTTTATTGGAGATAAGAGTCTCATGGAGTTTCCTGCCTGGGCTGGCTTTGAACTGTGATCCTCACATTTCAACCTCCTCCTGAGTAGCTAGGATTACAGGTGTGAGCCACCGGTGCCCGGCTACTAATACACCTTTTGAACTATGTCTCACAGTGCATGTTATGAAGGTATAATCTAACTTGAAGTAGGAAGAATACAAAGTACAGGTGCCAAGGCAGTTCTTTGCAGCACTGACTTCTACAATAAAGGCCACTTGTACGCTATACGAAGAACATATAGTTGTGTGCCTCATACCTGTTGACTGCTAGTGTCCCTGGCCACTCCACCCAAGGCATCAAAGCCCAGGCTTTGTTCTTGGGAGGAAATAACAAGTGTGATGCTGCCTTGAGAAGTCCATAAGGATCCAGTCAGCACCTCCACTAGTGTAAGAACGCAGACCTGCTTGTGAAGGGAGGACAGGAGAGAAGGAGGAGCCTCTGCTCTTCTGGGGCCAGGTTTGTGGAGTGGAACATGTGAGGTGGTTCACTTGTTCAAAAGGGCACGAGGCTGGCTATGTGGGGGCAGCGCTGCACTCACGTGGTGTCGTCCCAGCGCTGCAGGCACTGGCTGTGAAAGCTGTGGTTACAGAGCGTGGTGAGGATGCCGTTCACAGACTCATCCATGCGCTCCAGACACACCGTGCATTTGGGGAGCTCGGTCAGGTCCATCACAGGGAGGCTGGCGCCCTGCAGGGAGACATCTTATATAAACCCCACTCCCCCTCGCCCCTCAGCCATCTCTCTTGTGACTCCCAACAAGGCATTCTCACACTGTCTACTCTGGGCAGACAGACTGAATGGGCAATGCGGAGTGTCATTTCCACTCACTCGCTATACTGGGCCCTGGGAACACAGGGGATGTGCCGGCTGTGCATGGCAGCTTCTTCACCCTAGAAGGCGCTTCGGCCACAGCAGACTTAACTTACCAACCTAGAGTGGGGCCGACCCCAGCTCTGACCTGCAATGTCTATGACGATGACAGAGGCCAAAGGAATGAAAGGAGAAGTGCAAGGAGTGGGGATGGCTATCCACAGTAAACAATGTCTCAACACAGTCTATTTAGTGTCCCAGGACTGACAATGCTGACGTCATTTATTTATTTTTCTTTCTTTCTTTTTTTTTTGGCCAGTCATGGGGCCTGAACTCTGGGTCTGGGTGCTGTCCCTCAACTCTTCAGCTCAAGGCTAGCGTTCTACCACTTGAGCCATAGGGCCACTTCCAGCTTTTTCTGCTTATGTGGTGCTGAGGAATCAAACCCAGGGCCTCATGCATGCAAGGCAAGTACTCTACCACTAAGCTACCTTCCCAGCCTGCTGATGTTATTTCTTTGTGCATTTAGCACATACTTGTCCAATCCTTGCTGGGTGTGCCACACAGCAACTGAGAGGAACAATGGTGAGCAAAACCAAATTTGGTGCGGGGTGAGGGAGGGGTGACACAGTAATAGAGTAAGATTGATTGGAACATACTATAAGCATGTGGAAATGTAACAATATCCCCCTACGTATAACTAATGTGAGCTAATTAAAAAAAAAAAAAAAGGTAGGCAAGAACAGGTAGCTCACACCTATAAACCTAGCTACTTAGGAGGCTGAGATCTGAGGATCGCAGTTTGGAGTCAACCTGGGAAAAAAGTCTGTAAGACTCTTATATCCAATTATTCATCAAAAAAGCCAGAAGCAGAGCCTTGGCTTAAGTGGTAGCGAGTTAGCCTTTAGCACAAAAGCTCAGGGCAGTGTCCAGGACCTGAGTTTAAGCCCTGGAACTGGGAAAAAAGGAAAAAGAAAACTTCTACTTGTTAGCAAATTACTGTCCCTTCTTCTTTCTTCCAGCTCCCTGGTAACAACTATACACCTACTTTCTATCTCTATGGTATTCCTTTCTGGACCTTTTTATGCTATCTCAGCATCCAATGTTGTACCCATAGTCTACATTTACAACCCATCACAGGCATCCTTGTACTTACGTCTTCAGATTTCAGCACTTCGGCTCTTTCCACATAGACCAGCTGGCAAACGTCATCTTCTATGGAGTTGAACTGGCGGCCATTACATGCCATATAAAAACTGTCTGCATCAGCCTATATATACAAATGGGGAAAAGGAAAAAATTAAGACAGATATACCGAAAATATGCTTCATATTTAAGATGCATGACCTCTGCTATTCTTCTCATCCATTTAAGAAATCTATACTTACAAGAAAAAGCAATCACTAGAAGTAATATGTCCTGCAGCAAGCTGGTAAACTGACTGAACTCTGAAGGTCGATATTCTATGTCCTGACTGTTTCCTGAGCCACGAACTGCCAGAAGGTACAGGAGTGCCACACGTAGGCAGCTAGCACAATGTTACCAGTCTACCAGCCATGTACATTTATCTTGATCCTTTTTCCCATCCAGTCATCACTTACAGATGAGAAAATACTTCTGCAAAGCCTGGACTCAAATCACAAATGATTTGTATGGAGAGAATTTATTTTATAAAAATGTCAGCATTTGTGTTAAAAAAAAAAAAAAAGAAACCAAAGGACTGGTATGGGATGAAAAACCAACTCCTCTTCACTAAACCAAGTGGGAGTAGTAATATAGGGGAACTGGGTGAGGATCCCCTCAGGAGAGTCTAGTATCAGAAGCAAAACTCACAGGGAAGGTCAAGAGATCTAAGACAACCAGACAACCAACCTTTAAGACAGGAAGCACTGCAGGTACACCTGCAAAGACACATGCCCATTTATAAGCAAGGACTTAGAAAGCTACAGACAGATGGTTTCAGTTTTAAACTCAGTTAGCTTCTGCAGCAAAGCCACAGCTTGTCTGCATCACTCTCACATGGACAAGCCCTATCAATGGGATCAAGCTGCTTGGGGTGACTGAGGATTTTCAAAGAGACCACTGTACTGCCATCCTCTACCAAGACATTCAAGGCTGAGCAAAGCAGGGAGTCCTGATTGGCCACTCTCACAGGGTGCTGAGTCTCAGCCACTGTAAGCTTCTTGAGTATCCAGTGAGGTAATTCCACATGGATTTAGTTATTTATATACTCTTAACATGACCAAGTGAGCTATGTTAAACCTCTGAGGAAGGATGAGCAGTTCTGCAGGTGAGGGGTGGAGAGGTGCTGCCTGAAGGAAATAACCCATGCACCGGTTATAGTACAGGCTATGTAAAGCAGGTTGCTGGAATACACATTTTTTAAAATAATAATAAGAAGCAATCTACAGAGCAATGGCTTTTCACTGAGATGCTACTGGATTGACATGCCAAGGAAACCAACCCTCAAGCCAGGCTCAGATCAGCACTTCAGGCCTGCAGCACCAGCAGGCGCTGGCTACAATGCAAGGAAAGGCAAACCCCTCTGGAGCAGACCTCTGGAAATGTTTACCAAGTGACCAAGCATCATCACGAGAAGAGAAAGGCAAGAGACCAAACCTACTCAACACCTGAAAAATCATTTTCTTGGAACAGTTGTTGATCTGCAGTAAATAAAGGTAGTGTGTATGTGTTTGTGTGTATGTGTGTGTGTGTCCTGGAGCTTGAACTTGGGGCCTGTGTGCTATCCTTGAACTTCTTTGCTCAACACTAGTACTCTGCCACTTGAGTCACAGTTTTAGAGCTTTTTGGTGGTTAATTGGAGGTAAGAAGCTCGTGGAGGGGCTGGGAATGTGGCTTAGTGGTAGAGTGCTTGCCTAGCATGCATGAAGCTCTGGGTTCAATTCTTCAATACTATGTACACAGAAAAAGCCAGAAGTGGCACTGTGGTTCAAGTAGTAGAGTGCTATCCTTGAGCACAGAGAGGCTCAAGGACAGTGCCCAGGCCCTGAGTTCAAGCTCCAGGACCAGCAAAAAATAAAGAGTCTCATGGACTTTTCTGCTTAGGCTTGTTCTGAACCACAATCCTCAGGTAACAGCCTCCTGAGTAGCTAGGATTACAGATGTGAGCCACTGGCACCTGGTCTTTATTTTTGGTCAGTCATGGGACTTGAACTCTGGGCCGGGGCACTGTCCTTCAGCTCTTCGGCTCAAGGCTAGTGCTCTACCACTTGAGCCATAATGCCACTTGCCATTTTCTGGTCATTAAAGTCTCATGGACTTTTCTGCCTGGGCTGACTCTGAACTGTGATTCTCAGATCTCAGCCTACTAAGTATCCAGGATACATGTGTGAGTCACTGGTGCCGGGTGCACATGCACTGTCGCTGTCTTTCTCTCTCTATATATATATTTTGTCGGTCATGGAGCTTGAACACTGTTCCTGGGCACTGTCCCTCAGCTCTTCAGCTCGAGGCTAGCGCTCTACCACTTGAGCCACAGTGCCACTTCTGGCTTTTTCTGCTTATGTGGTGCTTAGGAATCGAACCCAGAGCATCATGCATGCAAGGCAAGCACTCTACCACTGAGCCACCTTCCCAGCCACTATATTTATGTTTTAAGACATGGTCTTGCTATGTAGTTAGAGGCTTGCCTCTAAGTCCAGTTCTAGGATTATAGGCATGCACCATCATACTCAGCACAAATGTACTTAAAAAAAAAAGACAACATCTACAAACAACTGAGATTTCCAATTTAAAATCTCAGCATCAGAATGTAGCTTCACTTGCAGCATATTTTCTTAGCACCTACTATGTGCTAGGCGCTATGCTCAACTCTAGAAAGAGAACAAAGCACATATAGTTCTGGCTTCAACTCATGTCAAAATAGAATAAAAGCTTGAAGCCAACTGTACAGGACAAATCAGTAACTTTTAATGTTTATATTACATGTAGCTAAAACTTAAAGAAACTGAACAGTTGTTTTCTCCTTGTGCCTGAACTCAAAAAAAGACAAATTAGTTATGATCTAGACTCCTTTAATGTCAGGGTCAAAGACATATTTAGCTTCTCAAAAAAGGGTACCAAAGGGGCTGGGAAGGTGGCTCAGTGGTAGAGTGCTTGCCTTGCATGCCTGAGGCCCTGGGTTCGATTCCTCAGCACCACATAAGCAAAAAGAAAAA